CTAAATATGAAGCAGGAAAATTAAGGGAAATCCCCTACCCCAGCTGCCTTACAAATTGAAACTTCTGTCTAAGCACCAGTGAGGAGTAGAGACCAGGATAACCTCCAGAGTCTTTATCAGGAAGGCAGTATTTGAAGAGAGTAAGAGGAACTATTAAGCCAAATGGTATATGAATTTTTGAAGGCTGTGTGTGCCACTAAACCTGTTTTTCTGCCATCTGCCCTCCATTAGCCGGTGTGACAGACAACACTGCAGTTTCCGAGCGTTGGGACTCAGACCCACGCCCCCCCTCCCCCTCCCCCCCCCGCGCTGGCCTCGGAAGGAGATTTGGCAGAGGAGGTTTGCTGGTGGTTGCGCCATCTGGTGCAGAAAAGGGTTTTCTCCACCTACGGTACACAAAAAAGCCTCWCAGATTTAATGCACAGAAGTTGCACAAACCCACTGATGCCACTCGAAAAGCAGGACACAAACTAAGCTCTGACTGCAGATGATGAACCCATGCAAAATGCTGTCCTCTGCTTTGCTTGGTTCCACTGAAGTATTATGTCTCAGTTATATTTTGTCTCCACAAAAGGCAAATGCATGGACTTTTCAGTATTCCTTTGTTCAGCTGGTTTTGCAATATCCATCCTAGCATCTTAGTTTAAATCACCTCTGTCGTTTAAAAATAATTTGGCAATTTCTTCTGTGTTTGTTTGTGTACCTAGAGAGATATGCAGGCACTGGCCTTTGACTTCTGACCTACCTTTTTTATCTTAGCAACATGTTGTTCAGGTATGAGCCAAGGCCAGAGAGTAGAATACCTTGACAGAAATATACCATATAGTGCTACTCACAGGGTAAAAATCCCAAATCCATTCTTGTGGGATTGTAAGATACTGCTGCACCATGCCTTTGCTGCCAGAGGACAGGCTCCAGTTTCCTCCAGTTTCCAGTTTCCTTGAGGCAAAACAAGCCTCATAYAAACAGCCTGAAATGCACTGCAGTGGGACATTTGAGAGCACAGATCTGGTTTTCATGGCAAAATACAGTTTCAAAAAGATTCTCAAAACCACTTGTCTTCCCCCATATCTACTGAAGAGAGTCTGGTAGAATAAAGACCATCCTTTTTGGCAGATAATTGCCAATCCTGATCTTTAACTCATTCAATGCAGTGGATGCCACAATATATAATTTCCTCATTCTTACTGGATGGGGAATAGGTAGGGCTACAGAGATTCGTTGGCTTGGGCCTGTCTTATCCTCTCCCTCATCCTTAATCAGCCATATTACCTGCTCTGCTCAAAGAAATGTACCACTAGTGGCAAGTGGCAAGATAATGAAGGCTCAGCATGCATCCCTTTGTAAAGGGGTTGGTAGCCTGTTATTGCAGAGAGATCTCTTCCCATCCATTTCTTCCAACCTCTTGCTGCCCCTTCTGTTATTTGTGCATCTGTGGTATAAAATGGATAAAGTGACCTGGCACACCTCAGAAATAATGCATCCTTTCTTTCTGTAGATCAGTTCCCTGAGGTAGTCCTGAGTAGCTACACAGCAGCTGGCCCAGGACATCGCTGGAATGGCAGCAGACGGGGAGGMAGGGAAAATATGGGATCTGCTTCAGCTAGCTGAGGCAGCAGCATTACTGGAGGCAGCTTACATTAAACWTTGCTGATTTCAGAGCACATCACTGCGAGAGAGGTGTTCCATTCTCCTCTTTCCTCACTTATGGCTGCAAGCTGATCATGAGACCTTTTTTGAAGAAGTGTGGTGTTGGATTGCATCAGCCTCASTGTTTGGTGATGCCGCTTTACCCATTAAATACCTCACTGAAAGAATGTCCTGAGCCATCTAATGCCCAGTTGAAACAATGGCCTTGCCAGAAGCTG